ACCGTTTCTGAGTTTTGGGGTTTTATTCATTAAAAAAGGGGGGATTTTCCAGTTTTCCGACAATAACTCAAGAATGATTTCACCAACTTGCAAGAAATTTTGATGAATTGTTTATATCTATTGACATGAGCTCCCTTTGGATTTTTATAAATTTTAGATTTTACGTTTCCGAGTTACAGGGTTTTATTCATAAAAAAAGGGTGATTTTCCAGTTTTCCGTCAATAATTTAAAATGCTTTCAGCAGTTCTCATGAAACTTTGGTGAATTGTTTATATCTGTTGATGTAAGCTCCCTTTAGAATTTTATAAATTTTAGATTTTACATTTCTGAGTTATGGGGTTTTATTCATTAAAAAAGGGGGGATTTTCCAGTTTTTGGACAATAACTCAAAAATGCTTTCAGCAGTTCTCATGAAACTTTGGTGAATTATTTATAGCTATTGATGTAATCTCCCTATTTATTTTCATTAATTTCAAATATGACATTGAGAAGAAATTGAACTTTATTTGTTTATAGTCTGACAACAGATTTACTAAGTATTGCGCAACAGCACAGTGTATTGCACAACAGCAAGAAATCTTTAATTGAATATAAATTCAATTCATATAACCAATTTCAAGTTCTTTGACTACATTTATTCAGAAACCTATAATATGTCAAATATTTAATTACAATCCAAATTCAGACCTGTATCAAGCTTGAATATTGTGTCCATTTTTGCCCCAACTGTTCAGGGTTGGACCTCTGCGGGCGTATCCAGCTGCACTCAGCGAAGCAGTTTATTAAATCTTTAATTGCATGGTGTTACATCAGGGTTCTCACTAAGGCAAGTTCATGAGTCTGGAATTCATGAATACCTGTCTGGACTCATCATTTTCAAAACTGGTAAGTCCAAAGATGTATTAAGTTTGCAAAATGTTGTATCAACTGAGCATATACCCGTACAAGTATATCAACATTTTAAGACAAAAGTTTAAAGATTAATCTAAACCTAATGTTATTTCCTTGCTTTATTTTATCATGAAGACTGAAAGGATAAATTATATAGCAATAAAGGTTCATGTTTGCACTGTTGAACTCGCCATGGCCAAAAATGATGACATAGTACTCGCCTTCAAAACTCTGTAGTGACAACTCTGTTACAAGAAAATACATATACATGATATAGGGAACAGGGTCTCTAAATATAATTTTGTTAGCTTTTCTTAAAGGACAATGTACCACTACATGTAGTTCGCTTAGCAGCTGTTTTACTTTTAAGTCCTATATTTGTACGCGGTGTTTATGAACATGATGAAAGGTGTTAATTTTTACAAGTGTGGGAAGCTTGAACATGTTGAACAACATGATTTTACAGTTTATTGTAATACCAGTGAAATCATCATCATTTTTCAGTCATTATCTTTCAAATAATTTGAACAAATTAAGTACATGTAATTGATGACGTGTGAAATAGACAATGAAAAGTATTATACATGTATATTTCATCAACATATGCTTATGTTCTTTGGATGATAATCAGCATCATCACTAATTTGCAAATACTTTATCAACTTGTCAAGAAGCTACAGAATGGTGATAATGGCGTGCATCGTTTATCTGTTTTCATTATCCGTGAGTACTTGTACACAATGTTAAGGCCAAACATAAAAGAATACGGGGTAAGGGGGAGGGGAAGGAAACACATTTTCCATCTAGTGAACAAATATGCCATACATTTAATATGACAAGTTAACATTTTTACATGTTTGCATGGAAGCACAATGGCCTAGTCCAAAATTCATTAACCTAAGCTTTCTGAGTGAGGCCCCTGCTAATTTTTTCCCCTGAGTTAGACTTTTATATTTAAGGAGTATATAGGTTCCTGAATTGTACGGACATTATCATGATTATATGATTTTCAAATTTTAATTTTGTTTTTTCTTTTTCACTGACAGTCATTCCCAATGTCGCCAGACATGGTTTGGTCCAGTTAAAGTCATTTGAATTACTGACCAAATGACCAGTAACATTTTATGTGTAAATGTCCTGTTATTAGGAGAGTCTGATCCAGTTACAAATGTAAGAAGAATGGTTTCTGGACCAAATGTCCAGTTGATTTTTCAATGCCTGGGGAACAACTGCACTGAAAAAAGTTGATTGGTTTAAATATTCATGAATGCACTATTACAAAAAATATATTAACTAAACAAAAATATCTGTCATTAGGCATTTAAAGAGTAAAACATGGTTAACCCCGCCACATTTTTACGCCTGTCCCAAGTCAGGAACCTCTGGCCTTTGTATGTTTTTTTAATTTTGGTTCATTTATATGTTTCGGAGTTTAGTAGCTATGGCAGTCCATTTTCTCTGAACTAGAACACATTTTTGTTTAGGGGCCAGCTGAAGCCCGCCTCTGGGTGCAGGATTTTCTCGCTGTGTTGAAGACCCATTGGTGGCCTTGGGCTGTTTTCTACTCTAGATCTTTGCTTGGGTTGTTGTCTCTTTGACACATTCCCTGTTTCCATTCTCAATTTTACATGTAGTGACAGTAGCTTAGGTAGAATTTTTTTGGACCTAGATTAAAAAACAAGAGGCAGACGATAACAAAGGTAGAATGAAAAGACATAAGTCAAAGAGAGGCTGACAAAATAATAACAAAAAACCAAAAAGGACAAACAAAAGTCTACAATGCAACATTAAAAGTCTGTGCAACACAAACCCCACCATAAACCTGGTGTGATTCTATTGTTGCCTTTATACCATTTTTAGTACCAATTTCAGAACCAATTTTTAAAGTTCTGGAAAAAGTCTTGGTTAGACCTATACATGTATAGTAGGGAAAGTTTATTAAGCATGTTCAGTGAAAACCTAAACACAAGTATTTTTCCTTTTGGCCTATGCATATTGAACTAATTCTCCCCTTTCTAACCTACACCAAGTAGTTTTGTATAAAAACTGTTAACATAACTGTAACATGTCAAGATGAACAGAGCTTATATACATTTGAGCATCATTCATGTCATTACTGGATTAAACTAAAAACTTGCAAGCATTTTTCTTGTAAATGGCCCAAAATTATATATATATTTTTGGTTTTCTTTAATGAAATAAGGCCTTGAAAAGCATGTAGTTTTGCTATAAACCCAACGTTTGACCAATCGACCCTTTTTTTAAGTGCAGTCTACCTTACTCGTATGATTTTTGTCTTCTTGAACAACTACATGTACATGTATATAAGAATTCAATGACGACATGCCACTCCTTTACACTGATTAATTAAGTAACTTTAATTTAACTTCTGAAATACTATCTACATTGTATCAAAAAAGATATGAGAAATGAATACTTTGGTACCCCTTGTTCGTGTTGTTATATCTTATCAAGACTGTGTACCAAAGAGTACCAATATTTAATTTAAAAGGTAATTGATTTATAACATGCATTACATATCCACAAGAGAATACATTGAATATGTATTTTGATACTTTATATATCATGAACGTGAAGGGAGCAATTTTACCATGTTTACATTTATTTTCCAGATCAGAAATTTTTTTTCTTTCCACATTACTTGAAAGTGAATTTTAAATGATTTTTGTACTTTCTGATTTATAGTCTGCCTTTTCCACTCTTCCCCTCTTTCATCAACTACATTTAGAGGTCAACATATGTTCTTCATCAATATAGACAAAGGTCGTAAATGTCAAGTTCTAATTTGCCACTTAATATGCATCTTGTGAAATGTGAAGCTGTATATATTCTCTTTAAACATTTTTTGACAAACTAAATGTAGCCAAATTAAGCAGCTCTTTCTATAAAGCAATACATGTCTGACAATAATAACCACTAGCCTGGATAAATATTTACTTGTCTGGGCCGTCAGGGTTGAGAAAAAAGGTGAAAACTGAAAATCAAGTCCTGTTTAACAACTGCTGATTAAAAAATGATTTATTATCCCAATAAGAATCAGAATTGATTGCCCTAGGTCTTATAATGTACTTGTACATAGGTAAAATAGATATAGATTGAAATTGATACAGTTGTAATATATTACTGATATTTTACCTTGTTGTACATTGATTCAAGGTCGTCAATTTCATATTTATTATGTCAAATGGAAAATTTCAGTTGTAGATTCACAAATGTCAATTTCATATATTTATATCAAGAAAAAAGTTAAACATGTTAAAATGGAATATATTTCAATGACTACTAAGTTCAAAATGTAACAAACCAAAATTTTAATGTTTTGTATACAATGTGCCAATAAATATGTATCTTACATCATACATGTATATTACATGTATTTAGATAATACATCAGTCAAAAAAGATGTGATTATGTTCTTTTATGTTCTTTCACACGTATTAAATTTGTTTTATACATTTTATATCTTCTAACTGTGTAATGTTTTTGATTAAATAGTTTTCTTTGACAAAATACAAATAAAAATTGTAAAATTAGACATATTTTATTGGTTGAAAAGATTGATCTGTCTGTTTTGGTGAATGTGTGTTGTTCAGTTTTATAGTGTCCACTTTGTAGCTAGCCTAGCTGTCCTCTGTGTCACCCAACTGACCATGCATTTTTAAATTCCACCTTGATAATTCCTCCTGAAACCAGGAAATCAAGTATCCATGGATAGAAAACAGTTGTTTTCCTCAATCCACGAAAATTTGTTCTCACGAAAATAAAATAGCCACAATATTATAATTATACAACTATTAATGATTTTTGGTGCAGAATGATGCTTGCTTGTTGCATTAAACCATGTTTAACACCTCTAGCTACAATGTATAAATTGAATCTAAATTTAGAATGTTGCATATAACACCACTATAGCTAAATACAGATAGCGTGATAGGCTTCAAATTCATGAGGGAATTTTTTGTAGGTAGTAAAAATTTCTGTAAGCTATTCCAACAATTTCTTTCTCATATTTCCTGTTAAAAATAAATTTTCTCTGATTCTGTTTAAGAAGGAAAAAAAAATGTTGACATATAATTTTCTTTTTCAGAATGTGATGAGAAAGATCCAACATGTAGTACAGATAAACTGAGTTTGGAAGCCATTAATGAATTGCACCATATGATAGACGATGACCAAGATGGCAATGTGAACCAACAGGAAAGCAAAGGGGTAGGTTATAATTGTGTCAAAAGACTGAAAACTGGGAAAGGGGGGGGGGGGGGGGGTAGAGCCTTCAACTAATAACAGCATATGATAGACGATGACCAAGACAGCAATGTGAATTAACAGGAAAGCAAAGGGGAAGTTTATAATTTTGTCAATAGACTCAAAAGATTTCAAACAAATGATTTCAAACACACATTTTTCTGAATTTCGTCTGCTGCAGACAATCATATATAACATATATATATAAGGGAAGTATTGGTTTAGTTTATCTTGTACACAATGTTGTATGAAATGTTTGCTGAAAAATTGAAGTTATATGTATACATGTAAATCTATATTTTACAATCCCACTTGAAAATCTCGGGTTCACATTTTACACAATGTAAGAGTTTTAAATCCCTTCAAATCATTGACTTGTAACATCTTTACAGAATGATGGAAAAATGTTACCTTTTAAAACATCATGCACCCAATTCAAATCTAATTTGTCAAATCTATTTCAAATTGTTTATTATTGAATGCTAATCATGCATTAATCAAGAAATAATTTAACGAGGTGTAAATTTCATTTACATGCATTAATCTTAATAGGTATATGAATATATAAAGTTGTAAAAGTAATAAATATTGAATATAAATCTTATCAGGAATTAAGTACATATATATTGTGGTGTTATCAAGATGTGTGGGAATTAAGGGAGGCCAGGTGAATATATTGAATAATTGATCAATGTTTGGTGGAAGAAATTGACCATAAAATCCATGGCAAAAACATCTGAGCTTTATTATCACACACTAATTATGCTCTCAATTTATAACAGTTTCATATACTGTAAATTCAGAAATTATTGCAAGGTTTTGATTAATGCCAATGCAATAATCATGATAATCTGAGTTGAGTATCGCAATACCATGAATACTAAAAAATCACATTAACCATGTTAACAATTATTTGTATCTGGAATAATTAATAAGAAATGTATGATGAAAAATAACCCAACAAAATAAGGTTACCCATATCATGCGCGCATGGCTACGGTTAATTTTACTTTCACTGATATTTCAGTCTGAACTAATTATACTAACCCCCTTAGCCATGCATGCATGGCTAACCCTCCTATATTGGGTTAGTTTTCATCATACATTTCTAATCAATTTTCCAGAATTCAAAATTATTCCAGATTCAAATAATTACTTGTTCATTCTGATATTCATCTTTATTACATACATGACAATATTTATCTGGCTGCAGGTTTTCATGAAATCACAATGATTTATCTCTCATTTTTGTCCATTCTTTAGAAATCGCAATTAATAAATTCACACAATAATTTCTGAATTTACAGTATACATACATGTATCATTAGAAGTAGAATCAAACCTAAGTACATGTCATTCAGATTTGGTTGTCCATAATCAGGTTTTTTTTTGTAGTAATTCCTTTTCATAATCTCATTTGTTGTCCCTGTTTCCGCAAGATATTTAAAAATATTACATTTTAAAAGAGTATAATGTGAACTTGTTGATAAATATTCCGTATCAACTTCACAAATAATACACGATGGTCTTGAAGTATAGATTTTGCGTACTGACATTGTTTATCATCTTAATAATGTGTTATAGTATTCTTTTATTTATCTTTATTAATATTACTTTTACTGTTAAGTCTGTTTTTTGAGATATACATTTGACGTGACTCTGTGCTTATGTATCCCGTCATACTTTGAACGACAAAATTATTTTATTTATTAATATTACTTTTACATGTTTACTGTTGAGTCTGTTTTTTGTGATTCACATTTGACGTGACTCTGTACTTATGTATATCGTCATACTTTGTACCACACAATTATTTTATTTTATTTATTAACATCTCTTACTGTTAAGTCTGTTTTTTGTTATATCCATTTTACATGACTCTGTATTTATGTATCCTTAAGCTGTCATACGACAAAATTATTTTATGTCTACCTGTGCAAATTTCAAATGCGCGATTTTACGCCAGTACTTAAAACCTTCCATCCTTTATGGGTGGATTTTACATAGATAAATAAATTGTATAATTTAAGCAAAATGAGGATGTTAAATTTGATGTATGCCTTTTTGTGCTTCTTCGTTACATTTGTTTGTTTTTATAGTGATTAAGATGATAACACAATGTTGACTGCTGTACCCCTATTTTTGACATTTTTACCTATTGTGTCTGTTTGTTTTGTTCACGCATCGTTGTCAATATAATGGAATTTGATGCGACTGTCATACAAGAGAGAGGTTTAGCTAACTATAAAACCAGGTTCAATCCACCATTTTCTACATAAGAAAATGCCTGTACCAAGTCAGGAATATGACAGTTGTTATCCATTCGTTTGATGTGTTTGTTTTTTTGATTTTGCCATTTGATTGGGGACTTTCCTTTTTGAATTTTCCTCGGAGTTCAGTATTTTTGTGATTTTATTTTTTTCATAATAATATAAGATATTTCAATCATTTTATTTTTTCAAATAACTTGAAAGCAACTTTACATTAGTCCTTCCTACCCTTAAATGTTTGACACTTTTTTTCTAAGATACTGTAGATCAGAGCTTCATGAAATTTAACATCAAGCTTCATGTGAGCACGCTATATCATGTATATAGTGTGATTCAGTTTTAGACTCATCTCTCAACAACTTTCTACCGCCTCAGAGGTCTCGTGGTAGTGTGTTCACCTCAATTGTGGGAGGTCGTGGGATCGAACCCTGTGCTGGTCAAACCAAAGACTTTAATATTGGTATTTGCTGCTTCTTTGCTAAGCACGCTACATTAAGGAGTAAGAGCAAAGACTGGTTAGCTCGGAGTCAGAATAGTGTGTCTGGGTAAGCTAGGTGACATGTCTTCCTGCGGACTGTTACCTTGTGAACTAGCACGTTAAAAATCCGGCTCGGCATGTTGGTCTAGTACAAAGCAGGGCTATATTTCATATTATATTAACATGTTCTTGTCCTGAGTATTCATATTAATTTGCCGCTGGACAATAAGGAGCCACCCATCATCTATCATCATCAACAACTTTCTATTTAAAATTAATACTTTTATATTCTTACTCATACATTGTACATGTGTCATAATGGCCATGTATGAAATTTTTATTGCATTTTTCTCAAAAGCTACAAATCAGGCCTTTCTGAAATTTGGAATCTAGCTTCATTCTGAGGATGCTATAATGTGTGAAGCATTTTTGTCAGGGTTTAGCAATTCTTTTGGTCTGTGTTGGTTTTATCAGCTCTTCAACATTTGTATTCAATTTTGGATTTTCAAATTTATGGAGTGGGCTGCCCACGCTGGAAAGTTGTGAATGACAAACTTTTAATGAAGGTGTAGTACAGGCTAGGTGGTTTAAGACAGTTTAATGACATACATTCAACATTAACATGATTAATGACATTTGGGCTCAATAAAATAAACTGATATTTTAAGAAAGTTCAGTGATAATTGAGCCTGATAAAAATCCATAATTTTATGCTTACTGAAATTTTTATTTTTTTCTTCTTTAAAGCCCTATATCAGCATGATCAGATGATTCAAATCGGGCATGGATCCAGCCATTTTTAAAAAGGGAGTTCCAACACATGTGCAAGTCATATGAAAAGGGGGGGAGATTCCAATCATATTTCCCCAAACAAAAGCATTAGTTGTCGAACAAACAAACAAAAAGCTTGGAACCCCGCGCCCCTCCCCCTGGATAAGCCACTGCTAAATTGATTTTAGAGGTAAAGTAAAAGGTCCAGGACTTTTAGTTTTAGGATTTACAAATTACAAGTCCACTTTGGAAAGTGAAAGGTCAGGTGTAACTCTCGGGAGTGGAGGGACCAAGACTTTTAAATTTCAAAAGATAGATGTCCAACTTTGGAATAAAAAGGTCAAAGACCTTTGGACCTCTGTTTATTAGTAACCCTTCACATCTCCTTTTTTTTTTTAGATATTATATAAAATTGTGTCAAAACTTATATATATATATAATTAGGATCTGTTGAGATGATATTAAACTTATATATGAAATGGTTTCCTGATTTGTTTTAAATTAGACCGTTAGTTTTCTCAATTGAATTGTGTTATATTTTTCATGTCTGGGCCTTTTATAGACGACTATATGGTATGGGTTTTTCTCATTGTTGAAGGCTGTACCATTGCTTATAGTTGCTTACATCCACTCATTTGATCTCTGGTGGATAGTTGTGTCATTGCATTGGCAATCATACCACATCTCCTTATTTTTAAATTCTTACTTGTATATCGTCAACTTTTCAAGATAATATAGTGTATCCATTAACATGATTAAAAGGGTGTGATATCTTATTTAAAAGTGTCACTGTAAAATTGTCAGTGCACCCAGTCAAATTATAAAGTGAATCATAGACGACTATACGGTATGGGTTTTTCCTCATTGTTGAAGGCTGTAACGTTGCTTATGATTGCTTACATTCACTCATTTGAGCTCTCATTGTCTCATTGGCAATCATTTCACAAAAAATGTTAAACCCCGCCACATTTTTGCACCTGTCCTAAGTCAGGAGCCTCTGGCATTTGTTAGTCTTGTATGTTTTTTAATTTTAGTTCATTTATAGGTTTTGGAGTTTAGTATGACGTCCATTTTAACTGAACTACCCCCGGTAGTACACATTTTTGTTTAGGGGCCTACTGAAGCCCGCCTCTGGGTGTGAGATTTTCTCACTGTGTGGAAGACCCATTGGTGGCCTTCAGCTGTTTTCTGCTCTTCGGTCGGGTTGTTGTCTCTTTGACACATTCCCCATTTCCATTCTCAATTTTACTATATGGTATGGGTATTTCACATTGTTGAAGGCCACCAATGGGTCTTCAATGCAGCCAGAAAATCCAGCACCCGGAGGTGGTCCTCAGCTGGCCCCTAAATAAAATTGTGTACTAGTTAGGTGAAAATGGACGTCACACTAAACTCCAAAACATATAAATGAACTAAAATTAAAAAACATACAAGAATGCATGTATACTGGATCCATTAAAACATGTAAAAGGGTGTGATATCTTATTAAAGTGTCACTGTAAAATTTTCAGTGCACCCAGTCATATATAATGAATCATTGTACATGATACAGTCCAGGGCTCTACTAAATCACATATATAACATAACAATGTACACATATAGTCATCATGTGTACATAAAACGGAGGAGTCTTAATTTATGTAAATAAGCTGTCAATTTTATAACATCAATCAGGTAGTATTTACAAAGGAATACCATTATGAATTATGAATTATGAAATTATGAAAATATTTATAAGTTGGAGTATGAAAAAATATGTGTACATAAAACGGAGGAGTCTTATTTTATGTAAATAAACTGTCAATTTTATAACACCAATCAGGTAATATTTACAAAAATTGTGACAAATGAATACCATTATGAATTATGAATTATGAAATTATGAAAATATTAAAAAATTAAGAGGATAAAAAAATATTACAATGAATTACAAACGAAATGTAAATGTTTATTTGAATACATCCATAAATGCATTATTATATATGTAAATAGAAATCATATATAGGTGTTATTGAACAGATGGTATCTATATATATAGCATGTCAATACATTACATATGTAACAGATTGTTTTCATATACATGTACGTGAGTTAGGATAAGTACATTGTATAATATGTAATTTATGCAATTGGCCTTAAATGATAAGGTATTTCAAGAATGTGGAAAATTTCCTTCATATATATTACTAGTGGCTCAAATCAAAGAGACTGGAAATGAATGATCTACATGATAAACGCTTTTAGCTCTTAACAGATCTTCATTCAAAATTAATAAATGAGAGCCTTAAATCAAAAATATTTCATTCAAGTTCATAAACCAATGCTAACTGTTTGATTGAACCTTAAATCAATAATATTTCAATCAAGTTTAAAAACCAATGCTGATTGTTAATTTGTATTCCAAGAATTATGCCCCTTGAAAATATAAAGAAGTTAAAAAAAATTGGCCTTTGAGCAATTTCACCCTTGCAGTTCTTGACAATTTGGATAAAATATACATCAACAATATCTTGACTGTTCTTGAAACCAATAACGATCATGACGATCAAATCTTATTTGAGTTATGCCCCTTGAACATATAACTTATGTGAAATTGATAATTGTTATATACAGTTAAGAGGTCTCTTTTTGGTTTGGAAACCAGTGACAGTTCATTGTTTTTAATGAGTTTTAATTATGACACAATACTACTCAACTGCATTAATTTTCATTTTCTTAGAACAACCAGTATATCACCTAAACAATTGTTGAAAAAAATTGCTCACATGCATGTATAATTTGAAAATTGGAGTCTTCAAAATTGTTAAATTTTCTGTTTATTTTCAGTTTCTGAAAGAAGAATTACAGTACACAGGAGGATCTGAACGGGTGGCTATATTCCATAATAATGATTCCTTGATCTCTGTGGATGATTTATGGAAAGCATGGATGAAATCAGATGGTGAGAATATGGTGATACAACATTTATGTACAGTTTACTCAAAAATCACTCATGGGGGTGATTTTTCATAGTGAATGCCTTTGATTCACTTTGAAATATATCTCTTCATATCAGGGTTCTCGTTAAGACGCGTATGTATACGCGTCCTGAATGCATGAAAATTGAGCTGGACGCATCATTTTTAAAACCCTTGAGTCCCCGGGACGCGTTTGTTGTATCCCCTGAGTCCCAAACTCATCTTTTTGCCAAAAATATTCATGATTGTCGCGTTGTTTTGATAGGAAACTAAAACGGAAGTCAATGTTGAACAATTTATGTAATGCGTAGATGAATATTTTTGTTGACTGATAACTATTTTTTGAAATTAAACGTCTTTCATTGATGATCCTAAAATATATAATTCTGTTCAAACTGATTAATAAATATGTAATAGTTACTATTACAATTAGTTACCGATTTTTTTTAGAAAAATTTAGATTTAATATTTCCACGAGTTGAACTTCACGTATTTATCCAAAGAAAGTAACAAATTTTGAGAACTTGAAATGAAATGATATAATATTTCATAACTGTTGCTTCTATGCATAAAATACATCGTAGAACAATATTGATTTGAAATTTTACGGATAAGAATAATTCTACTGGTCTTCGAATGATTTAACATTTTTCTCGTATTGTGCATGTTGAACATCGGGATCGTAAACAAGGTGAAGAATGAAACAAATCCGATTAAAAACTGATTAAAGAATAATTACTATTTAGCCAAGCTCAATATTTTGAACAGTGTTCACTTTAGATTTGCATGTTTTTATATACATGAAATGCATGTATCTCTTCTTAAGTATCAAGGGACTTGTTATAACAATATTTTATTTTTTATTTTATTGCCTGTATTATATACTGTGGATTCATTATTATTCGTTGGATACCAATTTTCGTGGGTTTCGTGGGTACCAGTGAACTACGAATTTAAATGTTCAACGAATTACAAATTTTATATAGGCTTATATGAAGAAATTGACTATACCACGAAATCAAATATCCACGAAAAAGGAAGTTTTCCTCAATCCACGAAAATTGGTGCCCACGAAAATAAATGAATCCACAGTATTTAACCCGTAAGTGGCTGTTTTTGGGTGCTATGTTCAAACATTGGTCTACTGTCTTTCTACCTCCTTTTAGGTTTGCCTTTTGATATTGATAAAAATTATGACTTGAAGAGGAATGGTTGTAGGGTGTCATAGGGAATCACTGATTCACAATGAATCACTCCTCACAAGCAATTGATAACCTTTGATAATCTGTAATACCTTAAGGCATAAATTTGCCTTTGGTTGCTTATAACTTAGAGTCAAACCCAAAGACTTTAAAATAGCTAATTGTTGTTAATCTATGTTTAGCCTTTGACAGTTGGGATTAAGAGAAAACCAAACAGCCCACAGTCAGAGTATAATTTCCAAATAGATATAGGAAGATGTGGTATGAGTGCCAATGAGACACTCTCCATCCAAGTTACAATTTATAAAAGTAAACCATTATAGGTCAAGGTACGGCATTCAACACAGAGCATTGGCTCACACCGAACAGCAAGCTATAAAGGGCCCTAAAAAATTACTAGTGTAAAACCATTCAAACGGAAAAACCAACGGTCTAATCTATATAAAAACGAGAAACGAGAAACACGTATGAACTACATAAACAGACGACAACTACTGTAATCAGATTCTTGACTTAGGACAGGTGCAAACATTTGCAGCGGGATTAAACGTTTTGATAGTACCAAACCTTTTCCCTTTTCTGAAACAATAGTATAACATCACAACATAGAAAAACACACTATAAAATATCAATTGGAAGGCTTAACTCAATCAAAAAACGTAAATTAACACACAATGAATGAATAAATTTGACCTGTGACACCTGAATGCAAATACACAGTTAATAAAAAATTACAAGGGATAAATAATTAAAGTCAAAAGTAAATAAACAGGTTTAAACAAAGTTAAAGTATGATATCACTGTGAAATTTCAAACAATTTATAGAAAATCATCACTTTTGAAGAAACCTGCATCATATTATACACAGGTAAATGAAAATAATTTTGTTGTTAAGTATACTTCTTCTGTGTGTATAAAATCTTCCATTTAGGAATACCAAGAAATTTCTTTAATATCAATAAAACTTATCTAACACTTGGTACATATGGGGTGAATATGGTTACATTGTCTTCCTTCCCACTGCTTTTTGTCAGATAGGGCAACATTGTCTTTCTGCACACTTGTTCCTTGTCAGCTTCGAATTCTGATTATTCTTGATCCTTTCACAGTATGCAACTGGACAGTAGAAGTAGATGATGTGTAATATGCTCTTAATATTATTTTGTTTTGTGTTATCAGATTACAACTAGAGAGTAAATGATGTGATCTATTGTTCTGATTTTGCATATAAAAATAAGGTGATGTAGCTATATATAGTATGATTGCCAATGAGACAATTATCCATCAAAGTTCAAATAAAGTGGATGTAAGCAATCATAGGCAACCGTCCATCCTTCAACAATGAGTAAAACCAATACTGTATAGTCGATTATAAAGGGCCTGATATAAAAAATACGAAACAATTCCTTTCACAGTATGCAACTAGAGAGTAGATGATATCATCCATTGTTCTGATTTTTCTTGTTCTTTTCACAGTATACAACTAGAGATGTAGAGTAGATGATGTGATCCGTTGTTCAGATTTTTTGTGTGTTTTTCACAGTTTACAACTGGACAGTAGATGATGTGATTCATTGTTCTGATTTTTCTAATTCTTTTCACAGTATACAACTGGAAAGTAGATGATGCAATTTAATGCTCTGATTTTTCTTGTTATTTTTACAGTATACAACTGAACAGTAAATGAAATAATCCCTTGTTCTGATTATTCTTATTCTTTTCACAGTATACAACTGGACAGTAGATGATGTGGTCCATTGGTTAGATTCACATGTACATTTACCACAGTACAGTGCTACCTTTAGGGCACATAATGTGAATGGACGTTCTATGCCTAGGTAAGAAATCTGCATATTTAAAAAGATCTGAAAATACAATTTTGTCATACAGAGCTTAATAGAGTATTGATTTAAGATTTCTGTTATTTGGTTAGACCTAAATGTTTAAATATACACCAGTACACTGCTGCACATTTCTCAATACAACATTTTTTATTGAATACTAGGACAGAGAAAAAAAATTGTTTTTTTTGCATTGATGAACTGTGGGATGTTAATGCTTAGAAATAAATGTGTCGTGTCATATGGAATGATTTCAATAAGACAACTAAATACCAGAGTTCATTTGACGAAGATATACGCATTTATAGGTCACTGTACGGCATTCAACAATAAGAAAAACCCATACCTCGTAATCAACTATTAAAAGCCCTGGCATGAAAATGTGAAACAATGCAACAAGAAAACTAGTGACCTAATTTATAACAATACAATTTACAAAAAACAAATATGACAAACATGCATGAACCAACATGACCAACAAGTACTGAATTACAGGTTTCTGACTTGGGACAGGCATAGAAAGAATGTGGGGCGGGCTAAACATAAATGTTTCTTTATTGAATTCTAATGATAAGTTTGATGATAAAATGTTATAACTTGTAATAGACAAAATTGGTAAAAGTAGTTTACTGTCAAGCTGTTGTCACATAAATTTCAAACATAATATGCACATGTACATTAATTGTGAGGATAACTTTTTTAAATTGTATGCCAGATTATGCTTTTGACATACCACTTCACAGTTCACTAAGGAAGGAAATGTGATAGTGTGAAATCAGTACATATTTTCTCAGGTTAAAGTTTTTGGTTAAGTTTGTTACTATGAAATTTTGGTCTCATTAATCTCACTTTTCATATGTTGTTCATTTGAAAAAAAATAAAATTTCACCTGCTCACACTTTTTTATTCTTCAAAAAGTTAAAAGATCAAAACATTGATTTTGGTGTGGCTTGCTTCATGTATTTTGGGCTGTCACAATTTACACAAATACACAAATTATATAATCTTCCCAAATTCTAACACCTCAGTGGTCTCATGGTAGCTTGCTCGCCTCGAGTGCTAGAGGTCATGGGTTCAAACCCCAGCCAGTCAAACCAAAGACTTTAAAATTTGTATTTGCTGCTTCTCCCCTAAGCATGTGGCATTAAGCAGTAAGAGCAAACACTGGTCGGCTTAGAGTCAGAATAATGTTTCAGGATAAGGTAATATGTCTTCCTGTGAACTGTTACCTTGTGAACTAACACATAAAAAATTTGGCTCAGCGTGTCAGTGTAGTACAAAGCAGGGTTAATCAATATTCATATTACATGAACATGTTCTCGTCCTGAATATGCATATTAATTTGCCGCTTGACATTAACATGATAAATTAAACAGCCATCCATCATCATCAAATTCTAACAATCCACTACTGTGGATTCATTATTATTCGTGGACTACCAATTTTTGTGGATTTTCTGGGTACGGGTTAACCACAAATTTAAATGATCAACGAAGTACAAAATTTCCATAGGCCTGTATGCAGACTTTGGCAAAACTACGAGATCAAATATCCTCAGAAATACAATTTTCATCAATCCATCAAAATTGTCATCCACGAACAATAAATGAATCCACACTATATTGTATATTTAGAACACCCAAATAAACATAATAAATTGAAAAAAAAACTATATTTTCAGACTTGCTATCACTAAAGGGACCAACACATTGAAGACAGAGTTAGGAATCAAAAATGGAATTCACAGACAAAAAATATCAGTTCAGGCCATGGATTTGGTCCTCTTTGGACCTCCAAAAGGTATGTGCAATGCTCCAGATGACATTTGTAAAAGATATACCTGAAGTGCTATATGCATAACAGCTTGTTTTATTAAAACATATGGTGTTAAGGGAAGGTACATTGAAGATGGGGTAACGGACTACAAGGGCAATTTTAGAATTTTGTTTCTATTTTCAATGTTCCAAAGAGTATACGACACCCATTCATAACTCATTATTCTAAGTGCAGTTGCAGTAGATTATTTCAAGCAGAAATTAAAATGCAACTTTTGATAATTACTAGGTTCATCAATCACACAATTTTCATATTAATAAACATTAGTTTATGATTTTACATCACATTTTAATCACTTTTCTTATCGTTTGACAGTGTGCATTTGCAATAAAGCCCCACATCTTTATATTTGTCAATGGAATACTTCAAATTCATATTGCAAAATAAGTGCACAAATGAAACCTTTGCCAGTAGATTATTTCAAGCAGAAATTAAAATGCAACTTTTGATAATTACAAAGTTCATCAATCACACAATTTTCATATTAATAAACATTAGTTTATGATTTTACATCACATTTAAATCAATTTTCTTATCGTTTGACAGTGCGCATTTGCAATAAAGCCCCACATCTTTATATTTGTCAATGGAATACCTTAAATTCATATTGCAAAATAAGTGCACAAATGAAACCTTTTACTTTGTAGCAGAGGTTCATTGTATGTTTTGCCACCTTTAAGGTATGTGCTATACACAGCTTCAGCAAGTTGATTCTACATTTCTAGATTACCATATAGCTTGATTGGCTATTTAAGCTCAATTATGGCTAAAAAAAATTATCTCCCTTTGCACTCTCTTGGGTCAAAAACAGGTATTGATACTCCGACACCATTGACACCTTTAAAATGAAAAATAAATTCCAGAAATGGTAAAACACTCAAGTCAATAGACATATTTTGTTTGTTTGTTTGTTTGTTTTAGATGGTCACAATGTGTTGAAAGACATTGCTCTGATTTTGTCCACATTTGTTGTGGTGGGTGTGTCCTGGTTTGCATATTCACAGAACAAGAGGTCAAAATGTCAACTGGAGAGGATGCTGAGAGAAATGGAGATGTTACAGAAAGCTGATGACGAACTGAAAGATGTTCAGAATAAGTATGTTTTTGTTAGTCCATTACAGTCACACAACTTTCGAGAACAATTATCTTACTCAGACTTAGAAATCATTAGTCTGTTTACGGTCACACAACTTTCGAGTACAATTATCATACTCAGACTTAGAAATGATTAGTCTGTTTACGGTCACACAACTTTCGAGTACAATTATCATACTCAGACTTAGAAATCATTAGTCTGTTTACAGTCGCACAACTTTCGAGTACAATTATCATACTCAGACTTAGAAATCATAGTCTGTTTACGGTAACATAACTTTCGAGTACAATTATCATACTCAGACTTAGAAATGATAAGTCTGTTTACGGTCACACAACTTTCGAGTACAATTATCCTACTCAGACTTAGAAATCATTACTCTGTTTACAGTCGCAGAACTTTCGAGTACAATTATCATAGTCAGACGTAGAAATCATAGTCTGTTTACCATTGTTTACGGTCACACAACTTTCGAGTACAATTATCATACTCAGACTTAGAAATAATTACTCTGTTTACGGTCACACAACTTTCGAGTACAATTATCATACTCAGACTTAGAAATCATAGTCTGTTTTACGGTCACACAACTTTCGAGTACAATTATCTTACTCAGACTTAGAAATCATAGTCTGTTTACGGTCACACAACTTTCGAGTACAATTAGCATACTCAGACTTAGAAACCAACCAATCACAATACTAGATTTGATGTTTTAAGCACAAATTTTGTTCTCCAAATACTGAGTAAAGTTTAAATACTGACAGGTTAGATCAAGTTCATCTTAAACTTCTTGGATTTCTATGCACAAATGATAGAGGAGATTTTTATGCAATTAAATACTACTGTATAATGTGGATTCATTTATTTTTGTGGGAACCAGTTTTTCTTTGATTGCAAAAATTTACATTTTCATGGATATTTGATTTCGTGGTTTAACTGAAGTCTGCATATACAAAGGGTATAGAAAATTTGTATTTCTATCTACATTTTAATTCACGAATCAACTTTACCCACTAAATCCACTAAAACTGGTATTGTTTAATATTTGTTTAAATAATAGTGAATCCACAGTATTCCATGTTTTCATTTCACTACTTATAAATTTATAAGGTCATTCTTAGCTCACCTGGCCCAAAGCGCCCAATTATTCTCTGTTGTTAATTCCTTTGCCAACTTTTCTCTATTTTAAATATTTTCCTCATTATTCTCTAGTATTCTGTAATAAAGGGTCCTTTATATATTTCAGTTTAACTGTGATTTACAATTTCATTATTTCCAATGGACCATCTCAGACATGAAAATGCTATATGGGAAATTTTCTATTTTGGACTTTCTGATTGGTTTAGATGTTATTATTTACAATGATCCTATCAACTGAAAATATGAGGAGAAAAATAATTTCTTAACTAAAAAAAAGTAATTTGTTTGTTTACCCATAGATTAAGTGAAGCAGAAGAATTACAGCAGACGGTCACACAGGAGAAGACAAAGTTAGAAATGAAATACCAGGATGAAATAGAAATGGCTAAGGTATGTTGCAATGGGAATTGGTCAGTAGTTGTGACTTATACATAATTTCATGCTTATGTTACAGCTAATGATTGACCAATGCGATAATTAGATTGTGTTTATTTCTTTAGATAACAGAGTCGAAGCTGGGACAAATCCTCAGGTTTTAACCATATATGAAATACAAATTCAAAAATCAATTTGTTTTGTGTTGACTCGCTAACAATTTGATTAAGATCGATTTTGCAAACCTCCTGATCATATTTGATATGGATATAAAATATCTTTGTGATATCTTTTAACATTTATTTTAAATTGGATTTAAAAATTGTGAATTCTTGTACAGTTTAAGGTAAATACCCAAAAATCCTACCTCCTCAAATTTTGAAGTGCCAGGATGTTTGTAAATATATATGGACCTAGAATTTCTGGGAAAAACAGTTTATGAGATTCCAGTGAAAAAGAACCATTATTGTTTTACTAAATTATATTAACAATTTATATGGTGTAAACATGGTAAAGGACCTGAAAGTAGGGTTCATTTTTGAATCTTGGAAAATGGAATTAAGCTTTCTTATTCAGTAGTTTTACAAAATTTTGGGTTTAAAACTTTTATTCTAATATAAATAAAGGTTTATTGGAGTTTTTGCAATCAATATTTTTTAGTTGCACTGATCTATCACCAGATATGAAAAAATGTTCCGTTGCTAAAAATGGAATCATTAAAATGCTTTATTTCTGTGAATGCAATGATTGTAATCTGTTTGCAGAAAGAAGCAGAAAGACTCAAAATAGCAAGAGAGGGCAGTATTGAGGAAATATCTCGACTTAAACTGGCTGAAGAGGAACTTGTACAGGTACAGGCTGATTTTTATTTTTTATACGCCCGTTTAGGGGACGTAATATGGTATACCGTTGACCGTCTGTCCGTCCGTCCGTCCATCGTCAACATGTCGGACATTAACTCAAAAATGCTTTAACCAATAGGCATGAAACTTTATTGAATTGTTTATATCTATTGACGTGAGCTCCCTTTTGTTTTATATTAATTTCAGATTTACCGTTTCCGAGTTTTAAGGTTTTATTCATTAAAAAAGGGGGGATTTCATAGTTTTCCGACAATAACTCAAGAATGCTTTCACCAACTTACAAGAAATTTTGGTGAATTGTTTATATCTATTGACATGAGCTCCCTTTCGATTTTGATGAATTTTAGATTTTACGTTTCCAAGTTGCAGGGTTTTATTCATAAAAAAGGGGGATTTTCCAGTTTTCTGACAATAACTAAAAAATGCTTTCAGCAGTTCTCATGAAAAGTTGGTGAATTGTTTATATCTGTTGATGTAAGCTCCCTTTAGAATTAATTTAAGATTTTACATTTCTGAGTTATAGGGTTTTATTCATTAAAAAAGGGGGGATTTTCCAGTTTTTCGACAATAACTCAAAAATGCTTTCATCAGTTCTCATGAAACTTTGGTGAATTATTTATAGCTATTGATGTAATCTCCCTTGATTTTCAGAAATTTCAAATATGACATTGAGAAGACATTTAACTTTATTTGTTTATTTACTTAGTATTGCGCAACAGCACAGTGTATTGCACAACAGCAAGAAATCTTTAATTGAATATAAATTCAATTCATATAACCAATTTCAGGTTCTTTGACTACATTTATTCAGAAACCTTTAATATGTCAAATATTTAATTACAATCCAAATTCAGACCTGTATCAAGCTTGAATATTGTGACCATTTTTGCCCCAACTGTTCAGGGTGGGACCTCTGTGGGCGTATCCAGCTGCGCTTAGCGAAGCAGTTTATTTTGGTTTTTTGGGGGGGGTCCAATGATAATTTTTTTACTCGAACATAAGCTTTTACTTCCTGAATGTTACATTAGAAACTGTATTTTAAATAGATTTCTTTGGACTGTCCTATATATTTTTGAAAGATTTTTTTGTGGCTTCTATATGGATATTTTGTTAATAAATATTCTCGATGGAATTCTGGAATTGAACATAGAGTTATTGAATTAATTTCTGTGAATAAACAGAAGTTACACAACTGAATCGTCTAGTACCTTCTTCCCCATGCAAATTTTATACATACATATGAAGCAAACAAAATATTCTGTACAATTAATTCCTTACAATTGAAAGATGGAAAATGCAATACTGTTTCATCTGATCATTTTTGAAGAAAATATCTATGTGAAAAACGCTAAGTATTACTTTGTGTATTTAAATCTTGAAAGAAATGAGGGAATAAAGTATTGTAAATTCAGAAACTATTGCGAGGTTTTTATTAATGCGAAAAATGAGACTAGGTGACTATCTCATTATAACTCTCATTCTGATATCTGTTACATATATCTGTATGCAGATTATCCTGATATCGCAATAATTAATCTCTCATTGTTGTCCATTCATGAAAAATCGCAATAATAAATGCACGCAATAATTTCTGAATTTAAAGTACTGTGGATTCATTTTTATTCGTGGGATATCTATTTTCATGGAATTCAGGGATAAAGGTGAACCACAAAAAAAAATGTTCAACAAGTACAAATTTACATTTTAATGTTTATCATGTTTATGCAGAAATTGGCAATTCCATAAAGTCAGACATCCATGTAAATACAAACTTTCCACAATCCATGAAATTTGGTACCCACCAATATAAACCAATGCACACTAATCCAGTATTTTGTGTTTTTAAGTGTGAATATCTTGAAGAAAATGTCTAGTATGTGAAAAGAACTGCATTATGTCCATGTTGAAAATTAACTGTTAATATTAAAGGGAGGAATTTTTTCATGTGAAAATGTTGAATTAATTTGTAAAAATAGTCCAGAACTGTTTCGTAAGAAAAGTACCATATAGCGGGTTATTTTCATGGGGTGTTTATTTTCGGTTATTTTAGCGGACAAATGAAAATCACGAAAATAAATTTGATGAAAATTTATGCATACGTTCAGTACATTCCAATCATTTGCTAATAGCTATATATCATTTTGTGAATGATCTATCTTTTTCCAGTCGGGGGGGGGTCTCAACATGGGATTTTGGGTACAGTTGTGCAGCTGGAATTTAAAAAACACCCCCATTCATATATTGAATAATTGTGAAATCCCTACCTTTACATATATTTCACAGGGAAATCATAACCCATTCATATATTTATCAGCTCAAATAGTACCTATATGCATATACAATATATCACAATTAGTCAATTACTACCTATTGATATATTTCCTCGGTAAAATTGCACCACATTGATATATTTGACGTATCAAAAAAGGGACCCATTCCAGTGGCACATATGTATATACCTTCATATAGGAAGAGACCCCCCCCGTGTTTCCAGTCAACAGGTCAATAACTGTATTTGTTTGTTTGAACAACATTAATGCCAAAGGGCACGTTACATACAAGTATTTTATAAAGGGACATCATGAGTGCTAATTAAACAATGTATATGTATACCCTTTATGTTTAGTGTCAAATAATTGTAAGAGAGTAAGGTACTTTCAGACTGTTAGGTATTTTACTTTTCTTAATTAGTGTCAAATTATATATATAACAGTTGTAAGTCACTCATGGTAATTTTATAACCTAATTAGTACATCAAAGGTCCGGTCAATTTCGTAACTTTCGTAAAATCTATGTCACCGGTATTTTATTGAATAACTGTAACTGAATATATTCAATAAATAAGACGTCATTCAGCAAAGATATGTTTAACTGTTTTCTGCCTGCCACTTTTTTACAACTTTTTAATAACCACCAATTCAGTATCCGCCAAAATATTTAATTGGAAATTAAGAATCCACCAAAATAAAAAGTTTCAACTCCCTACAGCAAAGTTGGTCTTAGATGGATTTGGCTACTATTTTTAGGTCTTTTTTTGGTCATATAGCTCTTCAAATGTTTCGGTTGTTATACATCTGTACATCCTTGGCTTTCAAATATTTTTCTTTGACTGTTCCTGATAAAGGTAAATCCAGAAAAGCCCTTTAGATGCAAGAAATTTATAAATATAAAAATAAGAAAATGTGGTATGATTGCCAATGAGACAACTCTTCACAAGAGACCAAATGACACAGACATTAGCAACTATAGGTCACTGTACAGCCTTCAACAATGAGTAAAACCCTTACCACATAGTTGTATTGTTTTCATTTTTTTTTTGATTCATTGACAGGTTAGGGGAGCATTAAAGAGGGCCGAGAAAGAGTTGGAGCGATCTCAGTGGGCAACACCAGCAGCCCTGAGAAACTGGTTACAACTCACCTATGAAATAGAACTAGATTATTTCAACAGGAAGAAATTAGCAGCTGATGTACAGTTCAAGAGAGCAAGGGAAGAGGTATGAAATTTTGCTGATACAGTAGCTTAACCTGTTTTCTGTTTAAGAGAGCTAAGGTAGACATTTGATGTTTTGTTGATACAGTAGCTTAACCTGGTTTTCTTCAGTAAAGTACAGTCTAAGAGAGCTAGGGTAGATGTTTGATATTTTTCTGATACAGCAACATAGCCTGGTTTTATCCAGGAAATAACAGTTTAAGAGGATTAAGGAAATAACCCATCATATATACCAGGATTAACATTTTGTATGCCAGATGTGCGTTTCGTCTACAAAAGACTCATCAGTGATGCTAGAATTAAAAAAGTTAAAAGGGCCAAATTAAGTATGAATTTAAAGAGCATTGAGGACTCAAAACTCTGATAGATTTTGGAAACAGTTTGATATTTTGTTGAAATAGTAAGACAGCCCATAAACAGTTGTTAGGACTTTTTGTTTTGCTATGCATATAGAAATTTAGCTGACTTTTTCTTCAGTGTTTAATGAATTACAAATAAAACATGTCTTTAAATCCCAATCACCTTGTTCTCATGGAATTAAATCTGTTGAAATTTGCCATCAGACAAGGGCATATTTTTATAGTTTCCAGATATTTGCATTTAGAGTGGTTAGAATAATATCCTTTTGGTTAATTGCATAGCTTGACTAGTATCCATTTGGGTAATTGCATATCTTGACTAGTATCCTTTTGGTTAATTGCATAGCTTGACCAGTATCCTTTTGGTCAATTTGCATAGCTTGACTAGTATCCTTTTGGTTAATTGCATAGCTTGACCAATATCCTTTTGGTTAATTGCATAGCTTGACTAGTATCCATTTGGGTAATTGCATAGCTTGAAAAGTATCCATTTGGTTAATTGCATTGAAAAAAATGGCATCTAGATATGCTAAACTAAAATTTGACAATGTTTCACTGAAAAGGACAATTTAAAGGTAAGTAAATTTTTTGTTATAAATTTCACAGACAATGTCAATGTTCTTGCATGATCTTGCATGCATTCATATTTTTGTGTTTTATTGAATTTTCATTTCTATGTTGTTTGAATAAACTTTTAAAAGTTAAAGGCCAATGATACAGTGTTAAGAGATCTAGATGTTTTCAATTTTATACGAAAGTCACAAAATACAAATCTATTCAAATAATATTTGTTTATAATCTTTATTGAAATTGTAAAAGCACAGTCCTATTATATTAGACATATAAATCAGTTGGAATTCAATAATCTACATTGGAAACATTGCTCTTCATCTTCTTGCGAGGATTTCCTTTTCATTCGATCAGGTACAACTCCAGAATCCATGATTTATGATATAATATAAAATAAGGAGTTGTGGTATGATTGCCAATGAGACAACTATCCACCAAAGTTCAAATAAAGCAATTATAGGCAACCGTACAGCCTTCAACAATGAGGAAAACCCATAACACACTGTTTGCTATAAAAGGCACAATATGAAAAATGTGAAACAATTCAATTGAGAAAACTAACGGCCTTATTTATAGCATAACAATTTAAAAAAAAACAACAAATATGACAGACATGAACCAAAGACAACCACTGAACTACAGGCTTCTGACTTGGGACAGGCACATACATACTGAACTCATCAGATTGGTACAACTCAGAAAAACATCTAACAAAAACACAGACTAGACATGGTAGGGTATTTATACATCCCTAACAACAAAAAAGACACAAAGAAGGGATCTGAGAATACTGAGTATAATCATACTCCACTTATTTGCATAATTTATTCTGGAAAGTGGGCTATGCAACTAACCAAAATAGACTGCACTGCAATCACCTATTAATTTAAATTGGTAGAGGAAGTCATTTTCTCCCTTTGGATAATGGGAACTTTCTTAAAAGATGTCTCCCTTTAAATAATGTGAACTTTCTTGAAGATTGTCTCCATTTAAATAATGTGAAAATTCTGAAAGATTATTTCCTTTTGGATAATGTGAACATTCTGAAAGATTGTCTCCCTTGGATGATGTAAACATTCTGAAAGATTGTCTCCCTTGGATGATGTAAACATTCTGAAAGATTGTCTCCCTTTGGATAAAGTGAACATTCTGACAGATTGTCTCCAATTGGATAATGTGAACACTCTGAAAGATTGTTTCCTTTTGGATAATGTGAACATTCTGAAAGATTGTCTCCCTTGGATGATGTAAACATTCTGAAAGATTGTCTCCCTTTGGATAGTGTGAACATTCTGAAAGATTGTCTCCCTTTTTATAATGTGAACATTCTGAAAGATTGTCTCCCTTTGAATGATGTGAATATTCTGAAAGATTGTCACCCTTGGATGATGTAAACATTCTGAATGATTGTCTCCCTTGGATGATGTAAACATTCTGAAAGATTGTCTCCCTTGGATGATGTAAACATTCTGAAAGATTGTCTCCCTTGGATGATGTAAACATTCTGAAAGATTGTCTCCCTTTGGATAAAGTGAACATTCTGACAGATTGTCTCCAATTGGATAATGTGAACACTCTGAAAGATTGTTTCATTTTGGATAATGTGAACATTCTGAAAGATTGTCTCCCTTGGATGATGTAAACATTCTGAAAGATTGTCTCCCTTTGGATAGTGTGAACATTCTGAAAGATTGTCTCCCTTTTTATAATGTGAACATTCTGAAAGATTGTCTCCCTTTGAATGATGTGAATATTCTGAAAGATTGTCACCCTTGGATGATGTAAACATTCTGAATGATTGTCTCCCGTTGGATAGTGTGAACATTCTGAAAGATTGTCTCACTTCAGATAATGTGAACATTCTGAAAGATTGTCTCCCTTTGTATGATGTGAATATTCTGACTCCCTTTGAATGATGTGAACATTCTGACAGATTGTCTCCCTTTGAATGATGTGACCATTCTAAAAAGATTGTCTCCCTTTGGATAGTGTGAACATTCTGAAATATCCTACAGACAAATAGAAAAGCTTGATGAAAATATTTGTATTTTCAAAATTCTGAATTTCTCTTCCAGCTAAACTATACTTAAGGTTCAATGTAGAGATTGCCATAATGATTTGAACACAAGAGATGTACAGTTTCTACCTTTTAAATGATCCAAGCTTAATTTTTATTGGCTTTTTTTCAGTGTGAAAGAATGAGTAAGAAGCGAGTAGGAATTTGGGGGTCTTTACGGGTAGCTACCAGTAGCAGCATGGATGAAATGGATCACCAAATAGAAGAAGCCAGGTATTTAAATGTGTACTTTTAGCCTTTGATCTCATTTTTAGGTTAACTGCATATCTGTTAGTAAATTACATGTTAATATTGGCTGAGTTCAAACATTTTAATGGACACTACTTCAAGTTTTGTACATAATATAAATGAAGTTTTATTTTCTGTTGATGTAATACTTTAATTTCAGAATGCTTATAAAACATTCTGTTGACATATATATATATATATATACAGAGTTTTTTCTCCTACGTGTTTTTAAATGCCTTAGCAAAAACAAACTTTAATATTTTATAGCATTCAATTAGTATGGGAATGCCTTATGGAACTATTGCCCTCTTGTGACTTGTTTACTATTTGTTATTTTATATGTGGATAAAAATTGCAATAACCATGCTAAATATATGATAAAAGCAAAAAATAAAAAGTGGATGAAAGTGTTGTTTAACATATTTTAACACAATTTCTTTTTGAATTCATTGATTAATTCTGGCCATATTTTTTTTTATTTCCAGATCAGCATTAGAAGAAGTTAAACTTTGTTTAGATGAGAGATTACAAAGATGGCACAATATAGAACAGATCTGTGGCTTTCCTGTGTGTACGAATCCTGGCAAAGAGAAACTTGTACAGTTGTTACAGATAGGTAATGTATATATATGACTACCAATAGAACATATGAGTAACAGATACTGTGGATTCATTTTTAGCTCACCTGGCCAAAAGGCCAATGAGCTTTTCTCATCACTTGGTGTCCGTCATCCATCGTCCATCGTCCATTGTCTGTTAATTTTTAGAAAAATCTTCTCCTCTGAAATTACTGGGCCAAGTTTAACCAAACTTGGTAAAAATCATTATTAGGGTATCTAGTTTAAAAAAACGTGTCCCATGACCCCGGCTGTCAACCAAGATGGCTGACATGGCTAAAAATAAAACATACAGGGATAAAATACAAGTTTTGCCTAATATTTGAAACCGCTATAAATAGAGAAAATCTGACAATTGCAAAAATGTTCAGAATGTTGAGCTCTACCTATTTTCCATTTAAGTAAAAACTGTCAGACAACTTCTTATAGGAGTTATTGCGCTTAAATGATGAATTTTACCATTTTAAAAATGTTTTGCCTATTATCTCGAAAGTTATAATAGATAGATAGAAACTTTAAAAAGCAAACAATGATCAGCAAGACAAGATCTATAAACAAATTAACCTGACCAAAATCGTCAGACAACTCCTCATTAGAGCTATTACCCTTTAATGATGATGTTTACCAATTCTCATCACTTGGCATCCATCATCCTTTTTCTGTCATCAGCTCTTAACTTTAACAAAAATCTTCTCCTCTGAAACTACTGGGCCAAATTTAACCAAACTTGGCAACAAAATCATCACATGGGTATCTAGTTAAAAAAATGTATCCGATGACCCTGCCTGCCAACCAAGATGGCTGACATGGCTAAAAATAAAACATAGGAATTATAAATAGAGAAAATCTGCAGTTTCATTGATTTGTGAATTGGTGGTTTTGTCAAAGTTTGCATGCAAGCCTTTTAGAAAATTGTAATTTGTGAAACATTTAAATTCATGGTTCGCCTGTACCCATTCTGTGGTTTATCACAAATAGTAATTAAAATCCACAGTGAACAAACATGTACAGATGTTTACATACAGATAAGTTTACAAATGTTACATATGAATTATAAAAAAAAAAACCCAGATGTTACAGATAGGTAATGCAAATATAGAAAGTTTACAAATACATGTATTATATAATTACAAATCATAAATAAATATGTGTAGAAAAACTTGTACATATATTACATTGAAATAATATGTAAATATAATGTATGAGATGATGATGAAATATGCCAGAGCTTAATGAGTTTGTATTTGAAAGACAGTTTTTTTTACCCCCCCCCCCCCCCCCCCTCCCTTACAATATGAGAGGGGCATTATGTTGTAAGGTCTTCCTCTGTCCATCTGTTTGTATGTTAGAGTTTCTCCCTACCAATAATTGGCATCCCACAAATATTTATGAAATAACTTTTAAAGGGTTTTCACTGATCATAGACCAATAGACAAAAATAACTTCATAAATTGTGTGTGTCTAAAGTGGTCATCTTGACCAGGAAGCTCAAACCAAAATATTTGAAATCTAGGCATAACTTTTATCATGTTAATGAATATATTTTACATGGTGTTGAACGTAATTAAACAAACAAACAACATGTCAAAAAGTACATTATTTAAATTTTGCAAATTTTGAAAACTGTATTGCAGGAGTTCCACAGAATATATCAGTTGATTTAGGATTTAGGAATGTAGACGAAGGAGAATTAGATGAAGACATTCCCCCAGGTTATCCTGGAACAGGTGAGTAATCTCTCTTATAAAGTGGGTGTGGTTTAGATAGGAGGAATGTATTTCAGAAAAGGGGTGGAGTTACCTTATAAAGTGGGTGTGGTTTATATAACAGGCATACTGTAAAAGCAGAAATTTTCATGGAGGATTTAATTTCGTTTATTTCGTGGAAAGAATATATCCACGAAATTAAAACCCCAACGAAAATTTAACCTACATATAATATCACTTCTATTTACTGGAAACCACGAAATTAAATCCCCATGAAATATTATATATAGACCAAACCATGAAATTTTAACCCCACGAAAAATAATGTTTCTACAGTATATTCCAGAAAAGTTATGGAGTCGACAGAGCTTTAGATTTCATTGTTTTATAGAAGGAAGAGCCAAATAACAATCATGAGACTTAAGTTCAGAATACTAATAAAGGGTTCAGTTATGTTAATGCATACTTAGTATGATATTCCAAAAAGATTTTTGGTAGATAGAAAATATGTGTCTTGTAGTTACATATTAGTTTAGAAGTAGTGTATATTAGATTTAAATTGTGGATAAATCATCATTTTTTTGCCCCCGCCGTAGCGGTGGGGGCATTAAGTTTTACCCTTGTCCGTCTGTATGTACGTACGTACATCCCAAAATTGGTTTCCGTTTTCTAACTTCTAGTTTTAAATAACTCATTGCACTTGTTTTGGTAATTTATCTGTGCAAAATTCAAATGTTAAAAAGAAAATTTATACTTGGAAATGAATGCAGGCAAGTTAATGCTTTTAAAAGGGAAAATTTCTTTTTTATTTGATTTAAACTAAAAGTGCAGTAGATCTTTTTCATCTGTTTGTTGTAAGTTAAATATTTTCACAAAAAAATTGTTTTTCTGATCATTGGACATTATAAGGGTCATTGGTAGAAGGTACTTATCATTTAGAACAGTAATAGGTTAGTAAAGATTATAATAAAGAAAGAAATACATTCATATGTTCCTTTATAGGTTCAGGTATACTTGTAATGCATGCTTAAGGGATAAGGATGTAAATCAAAACAAGATTATAATAAAGAAAGAAACACATTCATATGTTCCTTTATAGGTTCAGGTATACATGTAATGCATGCTTAAGGGATAAGGATTAAAAAAAAAAAACAGAAATAGAGAAAGGAATTAGGATTAGATATCTGGGCCATAATTAACCTCATGGTTATTTAAAAAAGCAACTTATTTTCTATTTAATGCAAAATAGCAGAAAACGTCAAAAGAATTATTCATCTGGAAAATTTCTAAGGATGATTTAAAAAGATTTTATTGTTTTACTTTTAGGAAACATAATATTTGTCAAAAATAAAGTAAATATTAAAAAACATTTTATTTGAATTTTCTTTAAATAATTATGAATATTTTGATTATTGTCCAGATATCTAAAGTAGGTTGTGGAAACAAATAAGAAAATCTTGCCAATATTTCATAGTGAATCACATATCCTTTTACTCATACAGCAGTCCTGACACTTGTACATGTATCCAAAGTGTCATAACTTCAAATTTCCAACACCAAAAAATAGTCATATCATATGGGAGTGTATTTTTGATGGACTATATATGAGCTGCACAAGTTTTTTCTAGTAAGCACACTTAATAGATTATCTTCCCTAACAGACAGTCAAATTTGTTGTGAGCCATTGCAAGATTTTCCTATTTGTTTCCAATTATACAAAAAGTAGCATGAACATTAAGTGTTTGTATATTACCAAAATTTTACTTCTTTTTTTCAGATATGCATTTGTGTAAATATTATATATATTTTTACAAAATTATATGAAAATTTATGTCACATTCAAAGTTGATAAAATTGCACATTATATATTTTACTGGCAGTTTTTATGCAGCACACGGTAACTAATGGCATGGTTCGCCCACCACCGTACCCAGGTAGGCAACTTTACACTGGTTAGCATGTGGTGTTCCCAAAAAAGAGCGCATCTTTTTTCTGTCTTTGTAGCATTTTAAATCCACTTTTTCTAAAAGAAATCATTTTTGTTTTCTTAAAGGAATATAACACATCTTTGTGGTTTTTACCAGACTATTTTGTATGTGTATGTACTATGCTTTTTTTATGGCATCATTTATTATGCTTGTATAATTGTCTGTTATTTTTAAATATTTACTTGCTCACACATGGCTTCAAACAGCTGATATAATTTTAAAAGTCCTCAGACTTATGAAAAATAAATAATAATAAAAAGTGGTTAATTTTTGCAAACTTTGTGATTTCAAGGAGCAAACCTGCTTGCAAAGTTTTATTTTTGCATTATTTTGTCTCAGATTTTGATCATCCTTGACATGTTTAAAGATCAAGTTAACACAGGGTTAACATTTTCAATATTTTATCTTGATTGTGAAATAATTGAAAATTTACCCATTTTACTGTGTAGTCAAATTATTATCATAAATTGAATCATAATTTGAATAGTTTGAGCTGTAATCACTTAAGCTTTGATCAATGAATTGTTCTGCTCTCAAATAGTCCCTTTAATTGGCAATGAAATCTGTGTAAAAAAAAAATTAGATAGAGGTAATAGACCAATAATTGTGAAAGTAAGCTTACAATTAGTTGTTCCTGAATCCTGTATTATAATGCTGCCACTATACAGTTGCAATTTTGACTTCATAATTGCAGTAAAAAATAGTTTTAGTTCATTGCATCTTGAGGTTTGTCTGTTTATTTGCAAATCTCAAAGCTTTTATTATTAATTGCATTTTATTCATTTGTTAGAAATGGGGGAATATTTGAATTCTGGGAATTAAATTTATGAAATAATTTGAATTCTTGGAAATAAATTTATAAAAAAAAAAAAATTTTTACACCCTTTTTGTATATTACGATGATATGTTCAACTATTTTTGCACTTTTTATACTCTTAAACTTAAATATTCTTATTCACATATTACATGTTGTTGTCTCTATCTATCGTCCATTCATCTCAAAACACAAAACTTATCTCATTAGTTAGTCCTTCTCCATGTGATGTAAAAAGGAGACTTATTTCAAAATTTTTGCTTGCCATAAGCAACACAAGGAGTAAGGAATTAATAACCTTTTTAAGACACATGAGTTCGACCCAAGGTTTTGGTGAGGTTCATGTTGCTTGATCTTTTATTTTTTTTAAAGAATGTGGTGTGTTGTTTGTCTTTTTGTTGTTTTTCTTTTTGGTCATGGTATTGTCTTTTTTTGTTTTGATTTGTGGTTTTTGATTGTCCCTTTTTAATGAAGACAGAACATTCTGAGAAGTTAATTTTGCATAAAAATAACTGGGACAAGTCAGCCAGAGACTTAAAAGTTTGTATTTTCTGCATTTCATAAAGATCTGCAGCTCTTTTCACATAATATCTTACCAGTTTAAATACTTGCAAGTTATGAACATTTCAGTATAACTTACAATTAATTTTTATCATAATATTTTTTGTGAAACGAGTCTCTTGGCTTTAGGAGTTAGAGCACAGCTCAGAGTCAGAATAAAATATCTTGATTGAATGATCAATCATTCTGGAGACCTGTTAACTATTGTTATTAGCAAGCATTTTAAAAAATCCATCTCAGTATGTTATTCTTTTTCAAAACATGGTTCTTATTCATACACTATTTTTACAATTATTGGTCAGCATACTGTCTTCAACAGTATACTATAGTGTCTTTACAATATGTCAAGTTGTTAATTGACCCAATGGCCCATGTCCGGGAAAGTACTACATAAATTTATCAGAGACTACTCAAGATCTTACATAATACCAAATTCCCTTAATCACAAAAATAAATTTAAGGCTTTTATTATACTATGTAATCCACTTTAACCGTGATTGAATGTATTTTACCTCTTTTTTTGCAAAGCGGATTCATATGAATAAAAACAAGATATCGTGTATCAATAAAAACAACACAAAAAACAAAAAAACAAAGACATAAAGGAAATGTATATGGGTCACCATTCAGTGTTTAACTAAAGACTACCGTTAGTTCTAAATCTTATATATGTGTGCTTTTAAATTTATCATATAGTGTTATAATTTGAATGTAAAATTTAAAAAAAAGGTTAGTTAGTAATGGACAACAGATTTATAACTTTTAAAAAAAAGAAGAATATTTTGAAAAATTGCAGTCTGGAGCAGGGCTTCCAAAAAATATTTGAGCCAGCCGGACATTTTTTGTCTTATCCCAATTTCAGTCCCTTAAGACTTAGTAACAAAAGGCAAGTATTTTAATCAGTTGGGCTTCATATTAACAATGATTGACGCAAAAATGATTTTAAACTTGACTTTTGATATAAATTTGATGTTCTGACGTGAACTGTTTAATTGACGGTGCATCATTCGAATTGTGCAATATCAGCTTACTAATATCTGCCTTAGACCTATTTGTGGAAAATTACGCTGTCAAAAACTTAGCTTTCGATTTTAAAAAACACATATTTCTAATACCGGATATTGACTTGGCAATGGTAAACCATGGACCAGAGACGGATACGTAAAATCAGTGTACGTTCCAAAATGTATTTATAAGTTGGACAATTCTTGAAGATCATTGTATAGAAATTGAGTAATTTCCTTATTTTTTTTTAGTTGCTATATCTGGCATTTTAGTTAAGGTTAATTGCTTTTTTCTAGAATTTCAAACTGTCTGTTTTAGAAAAAAAGTGTGAACAAAAAGGTTTAACGAGGTTGATGGAACATTGTGTTTGCGCTGTACTTTACTTTACTTGAATTGCAGAAAAACATTTTATAAACTTTTGCACCAGAATCATCCCAAAATAGTTTTATTTTATTTTCTATTGAAAGGATTAGTGTACTTGATAGATATAAGAAGATGAGGTATGAGTGCCAATGAGACAACTCTCCATCCAAGTCACAATTTATAAAATTAAACCATTATAGGTCAAAGTACGGCCTTCAACATGGAGCCTTGGCTCACACCGAACAGCAAGCTATAAAGGGCCCCAAAAAATTACTAGTGTAAAACCATTCAAACATGAAAACCAACGGTCTAATCTATATAAAAAACGAGAAACGAGACACACTTATGAACCACATCAACAAACGACAACTACTGAACATCAGATTCCTGACTTTGGACAGGTGCAAACAATTGCAGCGGGTTTAAATGTTTTAATGGTACCAAACCTTCACCCTTATCTGAAACAATAGTGTAACATCACAACATAGAAAGACACACTATAAAATATTAATTGAAATGGCTTAACTCAATCAAAAGACGTAGTAACACAAATGAACATACACAGAATGAATAAATCTGATCTATGATACAATGTAAATACAAAATTAATAATAGTAAGGGATGAATAATAAAAGTAAAAGTATAATACCGCTGTGAAATGTTAAACAATGTCAGAAAAACATCAACCTTGAAAAAAAATTCCGCCATTTGCAATAATTTTATACACAGGTAAATGAAAATAATTTTGTTGTATTGTTGTTATCATTGGCAGTTCTCATGTCCATAGAGATTATTTGGCCATGGTTTATTGACATTGAATGTTTTGCATGGTTTACAGGTTATTTGTCATTTTAATTTCAATATTTACATGATACATTGTACTATCAAAATCATCCCTACCATGGATTTGCCTCGTTTGACCATATTTTTTAAGGGTAACAATTTGCGCTATCATGCTCTCGTGATCAGCCATGTGTTTTCTGTTAATGGCCTTTTTTATGAATATTTAGCAGAGGTTTTCAATACATATAATTTAAGTTTCATTTTCAAGCTTGTGTTAATATTAAACTGATTTTTTTTTAAATAATTATAATATCTTATTAATATATTATTGAAACAGCTGTAAATTGCCAACCAGCCAGAACAAATACATGTAATAAGAAAAAGTTGTTCAGAAGATGGTCAGAAACTAATATGGTGGCACAGCCAAGTAAGACTGGTTTCTTGTCCTACCAGTATAAGCCTTGCATTATGGGAAAGATGGCTTTGATCCTACCATTTTTTTTACATTTCTGTTTTTTTGGTATTGGAATGACATCTGTTTAAAGCAGCTTGTTTTTATTTAAATTTTGATACACATTTCCTAATAACAGGGAATTATTTGAATCTGGAATAATTTTGAATTCTGGAAAATCGATAACAAATGTTTGATGAAAACTAATCCAACTAAATAGGGTTAGCCATATGTGCGTGCAAAGCTAAGGGGGATTAGTTAGTTCTTACTGAAATATCAGTGAAAGTAACTTGAACCTAACCATGTGTGCATGGCTAACCCACTTAAGTTAGGTTAGTATTCATCATACATTTCTTGTCAACTTTCCAGAATTCAAAATTATTCCAGATTCAAATAATTCCTTGTTTAATGATTTCTTTGCCTAATTGTTTAGTTATATTTGCTTACATATTTAGGAAATGCTGCAAGATTTATTGTTTCTTCCTCTTTGAATTACCTATTTGTTTCTTGTTCGCTACCAGTTTTATCTTAAATAGCTGTTACTCAATAAATTCAACCCAAAGGCATAGCTTAAGTTCAATACAATTGTTGTGATATTTAAATGAATAATGAGTACTGTAAATTCAGAAATTATATAATTGCGAGGTTTTTATTAATGGAAAAAATCGGACTGGGATGGTATGGCAATGATAAGAACTTGCATTCTGATATCTGAAACATTTATCTGTATGCAGATTTTCGGGTAATCTCAATAATCAACTCGCATTTTTGTCCATTCTTCAAAAATTGCAATAATAAATGCACACATCAATATCTGAATTTACCGTATTCCATGAACAATGAACTAGAGGAATGATTATCGCATTTGCAATTATTTTTTGTATTGACATTCCTGTTCACAACTGTAACAAAATGATGAGATAATTTCAAAAAAGCATTAAGGTGGTACCAAACACCTTGACTAAATTTAATTTGGCTCGTTTAATTTTCGTAAATTTTTGACAAAATATTTACTTTGACCCTTTGACAAAAATATAAAAATTTCAAAAAACTTGAACCACAAACTTTATTGGAAAAATTTCATTGGATATATAGCAGTTTGACAAACACTAATTTTGACCATTGTGAAGCTTAATATTTCCTTAACCGTAGAACTTGATTAAAACGTTCAGCTGATTTTAAAGAGTTATCTCCTTGTAGTGTTATGTACCACCTTAAAAACAATAAGAAACAACACAGTGGTCAAAAATGACAAACATCAGTCCACAAAATACATTTGAAAAAAGACAAAGCAGCATGAACCTCTTATTACAAAACAGGTGTGAACTCAGTAATCCATAAATATGAACAGTTCATGATGAACATTTAACTTGCATTATTATCCACTGTTAGTGACTGTAACAAATAATAACAGTCTTTTTTTTTTGCATTTATCTTTATTTTCAAACAAATTGACTGTTACTTGAATTTGGCACTTATGGTTTTTCATAGTGATTTCAAATGTGTTCTCAAAAAGGGAAGTAGAATAAGTACAGAATCTATGTTTTACTTATAAAAAAATGTTACTACCTAACCAAGTATCCATATCCATTCAGGTGAAATTAATTATACCTAATACTAAATATAAAAGTATATAATAATGATGATATTACCTAAATCTGTTGAAAAATCAAAATAAGAAACTTAATTGATTTAATCAATTCAATGTTATTTAATTTTTTTTCTTTTTATTTGTCTATACTGGAAATTATGGTTTTACAAATCATTAGGTTAGTGGATACTGTAAACTCCGAAATTAATGTGTGCATTTATTATTGTAAATCCTTGACCACTGGCAAAAATTCGAAATCTAAATAATGCAATTGCAAATATTTTATGAAGGAAAATTACAACTGAAAATTTGAATGTTTTTATTATAGCGAATCTGATACTGTCACATTTTCCTTATTAATAGAAACACCGCAATAATTTCTGAATTAACAGTAATTGTTTCCTGTCATTTTTACAGAAAGCTCTTCATGTCTATTCTAAAAACTTTATATATCTTTATTCTCATACAGCCAATGCTTTACATTGGTCATGTTGGTACAGAGAAAAACAATTGCATATTCAGTATACCTAATATAAATACAGTGATGAGAGAGGCACAATTAAACTAATTTCATCTGATATAACAAAGCTTAGCAAGGAGGACAAATAGTATTATTTACACATTTGATATACATACAAAACTTCGTACGATCTTTATGATGACAGGACTGAAACATTCATGTGTTGAAGACCCATTGGTGGCCTTTGGCTGTTTTCTGCTCTTTGGTTGGGTTGTTGTCTCTTTGACACATTCCCCATTTCCATTCTCAATTTTATAAACAGAAAGAAGATATTTTCATTCTAGATTGTAGTCTCTAAAAACAATCTTGAATAAAAGTCATGAGTTGTTTTGGAAGCAAAAGCATTAGAGGATTTTTTTACGCCTGATTTTTCATTTTCCAAGGGATGACTTGGATTTGTAAATCCAGAAAAGTCTTGGGCCTTTCATTCTTGAAATACATTTGAACCGCTGATTGGGATCAATTTGTGAAACTGATTGACTGCAGATTTAAAAATAAAACGAAATTGAGCAATGAATAAGACATGTTTGCTAAGTGTTAATGTGATTCTCTTGGTGTTTTTTTTAAGTGTTAATGTGATTCTCTTGGTGTTTTTTTTTATTGTTAATGTGATTCTCTTGGTGTTTTTTTATTGTTAATGTGATTCTCTTGGTGTTTTTTTCAAGTGTTAATGTGATTCTCTTGGTGTTTTTTTAAGTGTTAATGTGATTCTCTTGGTGTTTTTTTTAAAGTGTTAATGTGATTCCCTTGGTGTTTTTTTAAGTGTTAATGTGATTCTCTTGGGTGTTTTTGTTTTTAAGTTGTTGAAGTATCTATGGGTCTCTAGTTTTTCAACTTGAGGATCATATTGGTTTTATTTTTACTTTTAAATCCATTAATATTTTAATTCAAAAATTAATAAAAAGATAAGAGAGATGCTACCATGAAGGGGGCATTCAAAAGTCTCAAGTCCAATAAACAGTTTTAAGGCCCAACTTCTATTTTCTTTGCTGCATTTGAAGAGTGTACCAAGCTTGATGATAAGAATTTATTTCTTTTCCATTGAATGCCTTTCTGTGTGTGATGTAAAAAGATGCATGCCAACATTTATTTTTTTTATTTTCTACAAGTCATTTTTTTCATATTTAAAATGATTTAATACCTTGATTATCTAAGAATCAGTTCTTGATAAAAAGTTGATGAAAAAGCCTGCAGGAATTGAAAAAAAATCAATGTTTTGTCTTAATCAAGTGAAGATATTGTAAAGTGATTGGTTGTACAACATAGAAAAAAAATATATAGGGGAATTTGAACTGCAAACATCTAGTTTTCATCAACTTCAAAATGTAGTTATTTTTTCATTATGTTTTATTTTTTTATTTTCAGGGTACCCTGTTCCTGGAACCAGTACACCAATGAGACCACACAATTTACCAAACAATCTGAAAAATTCTATGGGACATTTGGGTAGTTGTAACTCATTACCAAGGTCAAGGACACCAAAGAAGAGACATTCTGATGAATCCCATCAAAGTGATGACCAGTCTAGTAATAGTATGGAGACACCACCAGATACCAGTATACAAGATAAACCAGTCTTTCATTTAGACAAGTATGTAGTTGATTTATTCATCACAATGAATGAGGCTCCAGTAGGATACCCCCTTAAGTCACAAGATTGCTTTGAAAAGTTGCCTCTGGTCACTTTCAAGCGTTTTTGACAGGTCGATGTTTAAGAATAAACCTGTGTTAAAGGTCACAGCTCCTTTTAAGTCAGGTGGTAATGCCGACTGTCAAAACCACCAAGGTGGTAGGTTAGATTTGATCATTAAGCCATATGAATATGTTGTAAAATTAAAGTCTTGAGCATCATTCACTGAAATAAAAAAAAAAAATTTGTTTCATTAGTCATTAGTTTCCATGGTTTTCAATATTATCAACATAACACTGTATTTTTGTGGTTTTATGCCCCACCTAGGGACATTATGTTTTTCGGACTGTGCAGCCGTTCTTCCGTCCATCCGTCCGTCTGTCCCGCTTCAGGTTAAAGATTTTGGTCAAGGTAGTTTTTGATGAAATTGAAGTCCAATCAAATTGAAACTTAGTGTCCATGTTCCCTATGATATGATTTTCTAATTTTAATGCCAAATTAGAGTTTTGACCCCAATTTCACGGTCCACTGAACATAAAAATTTCGTCTGTCCCGCTTCAGGTTAAAGTTTTTGGTCAAGGTAGTTTTTGATGAAGTTGAAGTCCAATCAACTTGAAACTTAGTACACATGTTCCCTATGATATGATCTTTCTAACTTTAATGACAAATTAGAGTTTTGACCCCAACTTCTTAGTCCACTGAACATATAAAATGATAGTGCGAGTGGGGCATCCATGTACTATGGATACATTCTTGTTTCATAAGGTTTACCCATAATTACTGCTAATTCAAAAATGTGTGTGTGCATTTATAATTGCAATTGTTGAATAATAGACTAAAATCAAAATTTGAACTACAAAATTATTTTTTTATGAAATATTTACAGTTACAATTTCTGCAAATATTAAAAACATCATTAAATTTCTGAGTTTATAGTTTCAGTAGTAATTCTTTAGTATGGCAAATACAACATTTTAGAATTGTAGGGAATAACTGTGGCCTCTTTTGTGCTTTTCTGAATTTACCTTCATTTGGAACGTTAACACTTAAAGCCAAATATTTCAAAGCCACGGAGGTATAAATACATAAAACAGCCGAGGAGCTATATGACCAACAAGGATATAAAAAGAAAGCCAAATTTATCAAAGGTCAACTTTGCCTGAGGTAGTTGAAAACTTAGTTTTTGAATAATTTATTAATTTTTTAAACAGACAATTTTAAAAAATGTTTGTTATAAATCATGTCATTTCCAACAGTGTGCATTCACAGGTTAAGAATCTCATGCTATACATGCTTCACATTCCATGAAAATCCAAACACAGTCAAAACATCTGAAAAAAATACTATTCTGACGTTTTATGATCTAAGTTATTTAGGAACAATTCTGATATTTAAAGTTTGTTAGATAAAAGTCAGTTGATATCACTAGCAAAGTGAAACATAGCAGATATTTTATCAATTTTTTTATAATCTAAAGCTGTCCTCACAGTTATGAAACTATATTACACATTTTTAGTCATGATATACCCCTTGATTTTCTTTCTCCTTTTGACAGCCTGATCAAGAACCTACTCTAATTATCTAACATGGTCCTCTTTAATCACTGATTCTCTGTATTTGTAGCAATTCATCTTCCCCAGAAAGTCTGATTGAAACCAGGATACAGCAGCAGCATGCACCACCTTGTTACCAGCCCATGAAGGTCTCCCAATCAATGAATGTAATTGGGAACAGCAGGCATTACAGTGATACTATAGGAGGACTGGGTTATATACAGAACCAAGATGTTTTAAAACAGACCGTGCCTTTTGGAAAACGTAGCCAATCAGATGCAAATTTAGAAAAACTGAATAGTTCCGGTCATTTGCATACAAATCATAGCGTTGAGGAAAAGACTAAACCTAAGGACAAAAAGAAGCACGTGTTTAAATTCTTTCATAAGAAACATAAATCTTGAATCGATGATTTTTAAAATAAATTTCTACAAAGAGGTTGTAATGTGAGGTTCTGTAATGTATTCTGTTGTAAACCTGCCTCAGGCTTGCCTCAGTATGTGCTACTTCAAAAACTGAAGGATCATGGGTAATTATATTGTTTGTATCAGATAATGAAAATGATGTTACAGCTTCTGGTAAATATCTGCTATTTGTAATGTATTGAACCAATTGCTTGCAAGTGTGTTATGTTTACCACAATGCTTTCTTTTTATTTTATATACAAATAAGTAATTGTTTACCCACAATGCATCCTTAAAGCAGTATGGAGGCAGCATGAGGTTGAAATTTAGCATTTAGATAATGATATTGATTGGTTTCTTTTAAGGTAAAAAAAATCTTACTAGCAGATTTTGGATATTTTTCAAAGTGAATAAATGAAGATGCATTTTGAAGGATGAATGTATATTTGCAAATTTTGGTCAAGCTACTGAGAAGTTTAATTATTACTCTTATTCATTGGCTCATCAAAGGTGATCTCTATGAAGAAAAAATCAATAATTTTCTATTAAATGGTTTTTAGCTTTTTATGCAGTATTGTACAGTTTTTTAAAAGGAAGAAAAAAATCCTCTGCTTTTCATGAAAATGGAACAAAGTATATCTTTTTAATGATGATAATCCCTAAATATAGAATTATAGAAAAACTATAACTGATTAATGATTTTTTCAGTGGCAGGATTGAAGAATTGGGCATTAAAGTACACATTAGTAAAAAGCTTAAACTCTTGAACTATTTTGCTTAATCAATTTAGCTTTATTCAAATATGCTGAAAATTTTCTCAAATGCTTATCAATTTATAAGATCATAAGTCATGGAAATAGAATTTGGAAAACTAAAATAGTTTCAATTAGAATATACAAAAGTATTTACCTTTGCCTTCATAATATATATTTCATGAAAACTATGCTATATCTGTAAAATGCAATATCATGTTACATTTAGAGCTTTTGAAATTGAGTTATTCCCCTTGTGTTATATTGGAGATTCTGGTTTGGATTTTATTGCTAGTCTAAGAGAGCTTAATGTAAATAGATTTTGTAAATTACTAGTTTGGAATATATTATATATAATATCTATATATCTAATTTATTAGATTTCAGTCAGTAGAAATAAAATTATATATATCAGTTTATAGGAAGATTTTTTTTTAAATAGGGCTCATATTTGGTGCAACCAAATGTATTTCTGTGCAGTTCAATGTTGCTTAATAATTTAACATTAAGGACATAAAAAGTTAATGGCTTTATTGCCAAAAAAATAATAATTTGCTTACTAGGCGAAATAATGTGCTGGTAAAGAAAATTTTTCCTTGAAAAAAAAATTTGAAAAATGTTGGTCTTGGTCAATGTTCTTTGTTCTTGTGTTATTTGTACCGTTGATTTTTTATTACCAAAAAACCTTTGTTCCAAACATGAATTCCTGAAACTCTACCTCTTTTGTTGGTGAGATGAAGAATTTGTGTTATTTTGTGATCTCTACTCTGAATAACGAATTTTAATGTTTTAAATCTTTTTTCCTTCAATTTGAAATTCTGTTTTGATATATCTTGATAGAATTTACTGGTTATATTGGAAAAAAACGATTTGAAACATTTTGATATGTTTTGTCTGATTTTCATCACAATTATAGCTTTTTCATTTTGTATTTAAATTTTTCAACTTGAAGGAATAAATAAGTTTTCAAATCCATTATATAAAACACAAGTTGAAATAATAAATTAAAAACCAAAATTCACAAAATATAAATGAACCACGGAGACATTTTGTTGTAACCAAAATTGGTCCCAACAATCTAGACCACGGATTTGTTGTCTTTTGCTTTTTGCAGGGGTTCAGATATGTTGTAAGTTATCAAGAATTTTCATTATGTTAAAAGTTTTTAGTGTTGAAAAATAAATTGCTCAGTTGAAACATAGGTAAAATTAAGTTACCTAAGGCCAATTTCAAATTTGAATTGACCTTTTGCAAAAAATGGGTTAACACATGCAAGGTTTTAAGTTATAAAATATTTACATTTGCTTCAGGATGGTTTGATATAATATGCTCATTATGTATTGTTTGTCTGTTTGCAAGGAAATCTCATCACATTAAAAATATGTAGAAATGTGAAAAAAATTTGTAGAATTAATAGATTTATTTATATAAAATTAATGAATAAATGTTTTTTGAATATTTTTGCAACAACAGCATAGTTATCAACAGAAGTAATGTATATTATTTATTTTGTGACTCAAAATAATTTTAAGAGGAAACTTGAGATAACTTTCATTTCATAGATTTTGTTAAGATAGAAAAAGCATTAATACCCTAGTCTTTGATGAAATATGTTTTTTTTTAATGCATGTGTAATACAATCATTGTTAAAGGCAATATTCTTCTTAAATATATTTGCAGATGAAAATTCTGAACAAATTTATAAATTCTAAAATTTCAGTGTTTGGACATGCACATTTAATTTCACCAGCTAATACTCTTTCCAAGTAGCTTTGTCACAAAAAAATATATGTAAGACAGAAGCTCTGAATTTTTTTTTAAGTGAGATTTTTAACATTAGAAAATTTCATGTTTATGAGTATAGCCTTAAAGTAATTTCAACTGGCAATACTGCCAATAGTTTAGTTCAGGATCATTATTGGTTTGTAGATCAATATTATTATTTACAGGTATGATGAAATCTTTTTTTTAGGATTACATAAGAAACTGATTAAATGTAGTTACATTCATGAAATTTTGTTTACACTTTTACAGTTAGGTTTATATTTTCATGCATATATACACTTTGAATTTGGATTGTTGGAGCTTGAACATTTATTAGCAAGCTTTGCTTGTTTTGCTCAATTCCACCATTGATACTAAATCACATGCATGAACATGATAATTTTGTAATATTTACTAAGTAAATGCTTGCATATAAGGAGACAAATGTCAACTGAAAATTTAGAATAAATTGATTTATCTTTGCATAGTTTATATTTCACAATTTCTAGGGCAAAACATGTTTACAACTTTTATTTCCACTTTTTCATGTCCTATATTCTGATCTATTTAAAGATCTTATTTACACCAGGGGATGTTTTGGGATTTTGTCTTAATCAAGGAATTACCAGAAAATTAAAATCCTTCCAAAATGTTCTACTTTTATACAAGAGTCAATGCATTTACATAGTAGTTAGTTTTTTATATGGTTGGCTATATAACTGTATGATGCAAAAAGTATACTTTGTGCAAATACCTTTCTGCAACTTTGTGGAGAAATAAAAAGAATTAATAACTTTTTATAAAAAAGCAGGAAATATTCCACAGTTTATCATGCACATTTAACTTTTCCTTATAAATGAAATATATATGTATATCTGTTGTTCAGTTTATCAAATCACCATAAAAATTCACTTGAGGCAATATGACATACTTTTATTTTTTTTTGTCAAAATCATGAATTTGGGGAAATACTCCTTTGGTTTATAATTAGAATCATAATTTTGTGTTCATCTTTGTTTAAAGCATTTTTTTTCTTAGAAATTTCTTCTAAAAGTTTAACGTCTGTGTGTAGTGTTATATATAGTAGGAACTATATTCCTCTGAATGGGTATGAAAATTCTGTACAGCTTTAGTTATGTGTAGAGAAGTTGAAAGACAACGAAATATGTTAATGAAAATGAAATTGAAATGTTATATGCAATAGAATGTGGCTCAACGTGTTGTCTTTGGATTCAGGCTATGAAATGTGTACAGTAGTTGTCTTAAGTTATATCAATGTTTTTTTCTCATTTAAGGACATTTATGATGAGGGCAGATCATTTGTCGTCTTTTTTATTCACATCTGTTCTGGACTCCATGAAATTTAGGTCTTGACATACAGTATTTATACTTTTCTATTGTTTAAGACCTTAGGTTGATCTCTAAATGTTTGTTGGTTTATTTGGGTTGTTATCTAGTTGACACATCTACTTTAAACCATAGTATATATTTGTGGGACATTTGATTTTTCAGAAGGTATTTAGATGTTGAGTCCCTTTGTTTTTTTTCATAATTTTAATAAACTATCAAGAACTATAATAAATTAGAAAATCATCAAAGTAAACAAGAAGTAATATTACTTTTAATAATGTTTTTTTTTTTTCAAAATAAGAGAAATAAAAGTGTTAAAGAGTTTTTGGAAAAAGATAAACTTTTCTTCTGTGTGCTTTATAATAAGCTGATTTATTACTTGTTTGTTGATATTTGAATTTATGTAACATTTTCTGAGTTGACTTTTGTCTTACAATAATTATTATCATTTTCAATTTTTCAAAAGCACAATCTTCATTAAGAGTTTAAGAGAATCTTGTTTGGCTGTCATTCGGGTCTATGTACAATCTTCTGTTTAAAATATCATACTTGTCATTCATGAAAAAACACAAATTTTGAAACAATGTCGAAAATAAGTGTTGTTATAATTTTTTCGGGTTTATTGATAACTTATGTCAGATTCTGTTATTCATTTTGTAAGTTTTTGCACAATATTAGCTTTCAGCAAAGAAGACCCCCCCCCCCCCTTTTTAATTTTATAATTTTTAACTTGTGTCCTTAAAAATTTAATGGACTTGGTTCATTAGAAATAAACAGTTACACTCTATTTAAGTAAAAACAGTTATCTCCCTTCGTAACATTTCCTTCTTATGGATGATTAGCTAATTAGCCATGGAAGCTCGTCAATTGATTATACATCCTGCAAAATTTAAAATTTGAATATTTATAGTCTTAATAGTGATCTACTGTAAATTCTGAAATGTTTATGCCCCACCTACAATAGGAGAAGGGGCATTATGTTTTGTGGTCTGTGCATCCTTTCGTTCGTCAGTCTGTTCGTCCGTCCATCCGTCTGTCCCACTTCAGGTTAAAGTTTTTTGTCAAGGTAGTTTTTGAAGAAGTTGAAGTCCAATTAGTCTATTTATCATTGTGATTGTTGAGTGTTATGATTTTGAGATTTCAAGAAATGCTGCGTACAAATGATGCTTATAAATTTTAAACTGCATCTTTTTATTTTTGCAAACCTATCTTGTCGCATTGTAGGCCATTGAAAATATGCACTGCAAAATGTTGCCTGTTGCATGATTGATGGAAGGGAAACTACCTATTTTTTCTACACAGATAAAAAACAGTTTGTGTTTTGTAAATAAATTTGATTTAAATATTTAAATGTATGGAAAGTTCTTCTTTTTAATCAAATATGAAAATAAATATTTTACAGACAAGTGATATTTATTCAAAATGACAATTTTTTCTGTGATAATTTCTTTCCACCTTTTTTCCTTTCCTTTTTTGAATTTTTCATGTAAGTGTCATTCTAATCATTTTTTACAAAAAATAATCATGTTTGTTTAATTTAATTGTATACTTATCATTAACATCCCTTTTCACGGATCATTATCATTTTACAATCAAAGCTAACAAAACTTGTGATTGCAGTTGGAATCTTGATCTTGTTTTTTTTCATGCAATATTATTAGACAGTCTTCCTTTTTGATGTTTCTGTCTTCTCAAAAACTGCAACTGTTTATATAAAAAATCATTCCAGTCCTTTTTTTTTTAGAAATTGTGTAAATGGCTTCACATATCTTTCCTTTAAATATTCAGATATGTAGAAAGCTTTTTATAGCTTATAGTGCATCACTTGATATGTGTTTTGGATTCATTCATTAACTCGATTGTAATTTTCAAGTGTGTTCCAGCTTAAAGAATCATCATGTTTAGTCCCTAGATATTGATATATAACTTTGTTTGTGGTATCGGGAATAATTTATTTATAATAACCAAAACTAACCATTCCGTACATTTTGTTTATACATTCATCCTATTTTTCTACCAATTATTTTGTACAAATATATACTTGAGTAAGATTTTCTACTGTGCAATGTGATTTTGATATTTGCATAATTAATGTTTTTTTGTCAGCTAAATTGTAAAATGATGTAAAAAAATGTTGAGTCTTTTTTTTGTTTTCAGGACAGATAAGTAATTTCAAACTTTTGTACAGAATGCACCAATCAGCACTTTCTTCATTTTTAGGACATCTTAAGAAGATAGAATTACATATAGGGACATAACTCTGAATAGTTATTAACAGTTTAGGTCAACCATTTTGCATTTTTACATTCTAAGTTTTTTAGTAACACAGATTATTTTAATTCTGTTTTTTGTGAATGCTTAAAAAGCAATGATGAAACTCAATATTTAAAACGCATTACTGATTTATAAAGAGTTATCTCCCTTCACCATGATTAATACTGTTGATTGAACAACAAAATGTTTTGTGATCACAAGAGCAAATAATCGTTGCAGATAGAAGACTTCTAAAGAAGTAACTTAACTTAGTTATTTAGATCAGTGTATTTGACTAAGTGATGGTACTTCAATACCTGATAAAATGTACTACAAAATCTGAAATGTTAGGATAAGTGAGTTGATAGGTTAATTCTGTCAGTTTTGTAAGAGGTGTCTACTATGTAGAATTCTAGACAGTTATGTGGCTCCAATATAGTCAAATCTAACCTGTGACCTGAATACAACCTGACATCTAATTTATGAGGACCTGTGACCTTTAAAAATGTTAATAACGACGAATCAGATCAGTTTAGAACTGTATAGTTTGCTTAAAAGTTACCTAGTGACCAGCGGCAATTTTTAAATGTGACCTTTTGATCGATGTGTTGTCAATTCCATAATTTTAATTTGTTTCCCATTTTTTTGTGTACCATGCTGAAATTGCTTAGTATACATGTTTAAAAATGTCATTGAACGTTGACTGTCTTGTTTTTTTCTTTCCACTTTTCACCACCCATGTCCATAGAATGAATAATGTGGTTTTTTCATCAGTAATGGACAGATGTTCTATTTAGGTCAATTTCAAGTTGACCTACAAAACGTGGTTTAATCAATTATAAGTTTGTCAGATTGTTTTGGATTTATGAGTATGTTTGTCCCTTTGGTTTTACTTTTTGGTATCTTTCGCCTCTCTTTTATGGACAATAGGAACTTTATACCATAAAAATTAGGAGTTATGAGCGTTATCTATTTATGTTGATCAAGGTTATTTTGACTGTGTATGAGGACTAAACTTGGAAGACCTACTAACAAACTGAAGGACCGAAGGTTATGTTTGTAAGTGAAAAGTTGAGTTTACACATCATTTATTTTTGTTATCTCATCAAGAAACAAGACAAAACATTTAACATTGGAATTGTTACCAAAAAATGAATAATTAATAACTTTTTTAAGGCAGTGCAAAAGTTCTTTAGGAAAAGAATACAAATTATCTACACTTCTTTTTATTGACTGAAGTTTTCCTTTTTTTTAACGTGTTTTTTTTTTTCAAATTTAGTTTGAAGATATTTAGCATTGACATAACTACGGATACTGTAAAACTTTTAATTTCTGATGTACTAGTTATTGCTGTAACAACATATATAATAGTGTGTGAAAACAATGCACCCAAAAATATTATCTGTTTATGACATTCAATAACTTAAGAAGAAGAAAAAAATTGATGTGAAATATAAAATTGCAAAATTTTCTATCTTTCTACATTAAACTTTGAGGTGTTGAAGTTGCTTTTTATGGCATTTTTTGGCGGAATTCTCAGAAAAAAACTTTTAATAGTTACCAATCATATTTTCCTCTATACCATTAATAGATGATTGCACTATATTCATAAAAAATAAATACAATATGTATTGTAATATTTGTTTTACCACATTACTCAAAGTGCAGATGCAGAATAAAATATATGTTGTTGAATATTTGATTAAATTTCAGAATCTGATGTTATTGTTAATATCTGATATGTGATAAAAAATAATGTTATTTTTATTATATATCATGTATATTTGAAATAAATTATCATTCCATAAATGAGTTAAATGTACTTGTTCCAAATCAAGCATCTTGTCAATGGTTGTTAAGGCCTATTCATGGTTGTTCAT